GGGAGAGCTACTTGGAACACTGCTTCACGAGTGGGTGAAACAATTGCTCTTCCAGCCTGAGCAGCATTACTCTGAGTGATTCCTCAGCGCAGGTGGTGAGGAGGTAACTTCAAGGGGTAACAGCAAATGCTTCCTGGGGAAGGTGCAGGCAGGCAAGGCTGCACATGTTTGGAAGTTGGGAGCACCCCCTCAGAAAAGAGAAAGAAGTGCTCCTCTTACATGATGCACTATGGGAGCAGGCGGAGCTCAGAAAGAGGGTCTGGTCTGAGTGGAAGATGGGCAGTGGAGGCAGCTTGCTGGGAAGGCACTAAGGAGCCCTGATACTTGGAGGCTGTAATAGCTCGCATTACACAGTGCTTACCAGGTGCCCAGAGCACTGTCCTAAGTGCTTTGCAAATGTGAATTCATTTAATCCTCACCACAACTCTACAAGGTCAATACTATTACCATCCTCACTCCACCAATGAGAAAACAAGGCGCAGAGAGGTGAAGTGAGTGGCCAAAGGTCACACAGAGGCTGTTGTTTCTTGGACTACCTCCTTTGAGCAGCCCCGGGGAGGGTTGGGGGTGGGGTAGAGTTAGCAAGAGGTGCCAGGGTAAAGTTGGGCTGCCGCTTCAACTAAAGAATTCTTTGAGTTTTTACCCAAGACCTTATTTATTCATTTGATTCTCTAGAAGGCTGGTTTGGCCTGGGAATAAAAGGTTGCATACAAGTGCAACAGGCACTGTGATTATTGCGTAGAGATATTAAGAGAAGTTAAGACCATGATGCAATCAACAGCTTCTTGGTCATTTCTCTTCAAAATAATGAGTAACCTCCATCAGGTTGTTTGGGTTATCTTCCCAAGAAAAACAGGTTGTACGGTATTCTGATTTATTTCTTGATGACCGGCACAAAACATGGTTATAGAAAACAGGGTGACGAGAAAACAACTATTGTTGAGGATCTCGTTAAGTGTGGCCTGATCCTAGATGTAGTAATTCTATGAAAAAATACTGGTGAGAAGCAGGTAAGCTTTGCATGGAAACGTTTTAACTGACAAAGCTCTTTTCCCAACTGCCGAGTCCTTTACACAGCACTGAGTATGCATATCTGAGAATTTATCTAGCCAGTTTGGCATGGGAAAACAAATACAAACATTTTTTTTGTACTTAAAAAAATTATTACTCTTTGATCCTTTTATAAATATTGAGATGTATTAGATATGACTTTTTTTTAGGTATGACTTTTAACATTTATTTATGATTTCAGCTAAATGAACATATATTAATTTTTGTGTGGAATTTTGCCAGGATTAAACACACTTACGTAGTGTTTATACAATGCCAAGTGCAAGCTTTCCAGGTAAGTTGGTCAACCTCTTCAGATAGTCCCAAATATCTAAATGTTTGATAATTGGTGGGCTTAATTTTAATCTAAAAATTCTGATATGTGCCTGAGAAAATATTTTTCAAACAGTGATATGAAAACAGGTGTCTTGCCACGTGTTATGGGCTGAGTTGTGTACCCCCAAAATTCCTACGTTAAAGTGCTATCCCTACCCTAGGGCCTCAGAATGCGACTGTATTTGGAGATAGGGCCTGTAGAGAGGTGACTAAGTTAAAACGAAACTGTTAGGGTATGCCCTGATTTAATCTGACTGGTGTCATAAGAAGGGGAAATTTGGACACCGATAAGGGGGTGTGCAGAGGAAAGACCATGTGAGGATGCCGCGAGAAGGCGGCCATCTGCAGGCCAACAGAGAGGCCTCAGAAGAAGTCAATCCTGCTGAACCCCGGAGCTTGCGCTTCCAGCCTCCAGAACTGTGAGAAAACAAGTTTCTGTTGGTTAAGCCGCCCAGTCTGTGGTCTTTTGTCAGGGTAGCCCTAGCAAACGAAAATACTATAATATAGTGAAAAGTGAGTATGTAGAATGTTCAGGAGTTTATCAATTTGCTTGTTTATCTATTTACTTCATCTTTCTATGTAGAAATTAGTCTGAATGGATGAAAAGACACTTAACATTGTTTTATAATTAAATCATTAACAAGGTAGAGCTTTTGTTAAAAATAAGTATAGTCTTCACTCCCAGAGATGAGTTTGAAAATACATTTCCAGTAATTTTGTGCACTTCCATTAACCAATATTTTGAGACTAATCTGTGGTAATCTTGAAGTAACTATACAAAATGACGTACGCTTTTGTCTTTTCAGACATATTTTGGAAATGTTTAAGGATAGCCATTGTTCAGTACTATAAAAAGTGATGTCATTCATTTAAAAAAAAAGTCTCAAAAGTGCATTTGGGTAATAGAATCCAAACAAATTTGGAAAGTGGCCTTAATCATCTCATTACCTGAGAATCTTTCCTCTCAGAAATAACTACAAAATGGCAGATGCATAATAAATATTAATAACTGAAAATAGTAACTCCTACTTTGCTCTTTGTGAAGGTAACAATATTTTCCTGCTGCCATCATTGCAATGGAATACATATTTCCTGATACACCTTTTAATTTTAATTTGGCTTTTAAGAAAAACTATTATTGTAAGAGCTACTAGAAGACAAAAGGCATGCTCAAGTGATCATGTTAAATAACGAAACAACTGAAAATATCAAGGAAAATGCCAAAACAAAGTCACTATTTTAGAGATGAATAATAGGTGGTTCACACTTGCAATCAGTAATATACATGTAAAACACTTTTTTAGGTGAGCTGTACGAAATGAACATGTTCTGGCAAAAAATATTCCAGTCAACTGACGTTCAGTTTATTTATGTAATTGAACTCAGGAAAAGGATACTTTTCCATAAGATTTAGGGACCTATGCCTGCAAACTCCTTTTCAGAACTGCTAATTGTATTGGTTGGTCTTTAAATCATGTATTTTTAGAAATCAGGTACTATCATGAATCAAAGATTTCTAGTTAGTTATTAACTATTGAGTGTAGTGATTATATTTTAATGAAATCCAACAATTTTAAATGGAACTTGGAAGTGAGAAAAAAAAATCTACTAATCAGAATCATAATATGGGGGAGAAAAACATCCCCCTCATGTTTCACAAAGTAGCAAGCAGAAAGCTTCCAAAATCCACAAAAAAGAGGGACGTGTAAATAATAAAGTTCTGTTAAAAATAAGAACCAAGAAAGAATTCTGAAAAAAAGGGTATTATGCAAAGGGCTTTACAAAAATCAGTCAAGTTTCAAGAGGAAGGTATAAGAAAATAAATCTTAAGCGGCTGCTAAAGTGCTTAGCTAGCAGAATAAACCTATTTCATTTCCTTTCTTGCAGCTCACAATTCTTTTTATAGGTTGCAAGGCAAAAGCAGAGAGCTTTGGCAGGTCTTGGGAATTGACACAAACTGGATTAAGTATGACTTTTAGAAAACCTAATCTGCTCCCATTAGATAAAATTTTTACTGTACTTGTTGCAAGTCAGACTAATCTGTGGATGAATTGCCCCACCTTCACTTTAGAGTCTTTGATGGATGTAATGAATGAATGTAAAGCATTTCAAGGTGACTTCTGGACCAGCAATGCCCAATAGAACTTTCTGTAATGATGGAAATGCACTGAACTTCTCCTCTGCCAATGCGGTGGCCACCAGCCATCTGTGGCTATTGAGCACTTTAAATGTTGGTAGTGCTACTGATGAACTGAATTTTAAATTTTATTTAATTTTAATTGATTCAAATTTAAATAGCCTCATGTGGCCAGTGGCTACTGTACTGGGCAGTGCAGTTCTAGATCCTTTCTTTCCCTTTAACTGAAGTTTTCAGGCATGATTTTATTACATGTCCCTGGGTTTTCTGGGATTAAATATTATCCAAGGCTTCTAGGTTCCCCAGAGGTAGGGTGATCATATAACTGTCAGAACTGGGATACTTTGAGAAAGACAGGGAGTGTTACTAACAATTATGGTGAGATAAGAGGCATAATCTGGGACAGTCTAGGGCACATAAGAAGGTTGGTCCCTCCACCCACAGGGACTGTTGCTTGAAGGTTCTATTGGGAAGTAACTGGGCTTTACATCACTTCAATTTAGGTTGTAGATAATGTTTAAGCATCTTCTGGGGTACACATTTCACCATACCATGCCTTTCTTTGTCCCCATAAACATTTACCAAACTCTTTATAGCTCATTTCTGCTTTCCCAGTGACTCCCAATCATAACATAAAGCAATGTCTAACACGATCCTAAATGACTAACACAACACAGAAGTAAATAATCAATTGCACTGATATCTGAGTTTAGACCAAGTATCTGAATAGCTAAATTGGGTTGCATAGTTAAGCTGTTCCTCTGGCTTTTTGGTAAGAGGCAGAGAGCCAAAAAGATCAGCGTATTTCTTTGCAATACAGCCACTCAGCATTCCCTGACAGATACACATTCTCCCGAAGGGATTAGAGTGGGCAGGCTCAGCATACGGCACTTCATTTAGTCCAGATCCTGAATTTTTTGTAGGGAGTGGATCCCGGAAATAAGTTGCTTTGGGTACATGCTTACCTTCCTGCCATCAGTAGAGGAAGTATGTTAAGGTCAGCTTTTTAACAGTTACATTTTGGCAGAATAGGACTGACGGCAGACTATGTTAGGCATCTTTCCATTTTCAGACTCAATCAGTTTTGAAATAACCTAGAGGGCTTTTTCTCTGGTACACAGTACAGAACATGGATTGGAACATCAAATCATAAAAATAATTTAAAAAATCCAATTGCATCTATATACTAAATGTCCTGAAAGTAACAAATGGACATGACAAGCCAATTCTCATGTAATCTTGCTGACATGGCCTGGCTTTTTAAATTGCACCCACCTTTTATAAAATACACTGTGTTTGAACACAGTAGAGTTTTGTATTAAGAAAAAATATCTTAGAATTTAATAGGCAGATGAATAGGAAAAGAGGAAGTAATTATTCTAGGAGATTTACTGGCAGGAGAAACAACTCAGCAACATAGTATTCAAATAATCAGAGGTAGATCTCTGAATCATTTTGTCAAAGGCTTTCCACCAACCTGATAGCTCGAATGACAGTTTTAAGTGGTGGGGTGAGGTCTTCTACAGATACATCACACTGGCATCCTTTTTCATCATATACGTCATCAGTGCCAAGGGCTGTGTCAGCTGCAAGAGAAAACTGCTGGTTAAATACTACCACCAGCAATTTGAAACATGCTGTTGAACTTGTCTCATATAGAAATGGGGGAACTCACAGACTAAGCTTATAAATCAAGATCTGTATAAGGTCAGCCAATTGTTTTTCCCAGAATGATTCCTTCTCCTTTTCCTATAACCTCACCAATTTTATGTGATTTGACACGAATACCTTCCTGAGCTGTTTTCCACGGGGAAGATGAAAATGTTGACACACTGTATTTCCTTTAGTGGTGATAGATTTGTGTTGATCCACCCATGCTCTTTTGCCCAGTTCTTTGAAACGAACAGCCAGTGTTTAAATAACAGCTGTTTGGAGTTAGGGAGACAGTCTACGGACATTTAACTAACTGGCCTGTATATACACAGCTTGAAACCCATGACATTGACCCATGCCCTGAACAAGTGAGTAGTCAGACCCAAGAACACTGATTACTTATCAGTTACTGGACACAGGCTGCTCAGGAGAGAGCTTGGCTAAGATTACACAGCCAACGCTGGGAGATTTTTCAGAGCGGATAATGAAATCAGTTCCTCATAAACCGAACAAATGAACTTTTGGGTTAATTGCAAAGTTTGGAAAAGGGGATAGGGTTACAAAAAGTACCAAGTTAGTAAAGATTTATAAAATTAATAAGGAATACACTTATATAATTGCAGCTTTATTTTCAGCAATGAAATATTGAAAACAAATTAAAATCCCTGGAATGGGGAATGAGTTAAATAAATATAGTAGGTTCATATATAGTACAATATTAAGAAGCTGTTAAAGATGATGTTGAAGACTAATGACTGGAAAAAAAGTTACAATATTTTATTAAAGAAAAAATATCTATATATCTATCTGGGATTAAGAATGATTTTATTTTTTTTGCTTGGCTATATTTCTAAAATTTCTACAGTGAACATGTATTACTTTGATAATAACGTAATAAAAATTCACTCATGAGAGATGACTTATTTAGCCTCCAAATTCTATTTAAGCCACTTTAAATGCTGACAAACACTAAAGGACTAACATGGCTTTCTGTCGCCTTTGCTCTGCCTAGTTTCCATTTGCTAAGTCATGAAAGGTACTTTGCCATGGACTGTTCTGGTGGGATTAAAAATCCTGAAAGGCTATTGGCCCATTTATTGGCTATAAAGGTCCAAAGGCTATAAATCCCCAAATCCAAAGGCTATAAAGGTCCATTCATTGAAGCAGTACTTATAATGAAATGCAGTTGATGTGCCATTTAATTCGACTATTTACTATGTGTTCATTGGGTGCTGAGAGTGGAGGTGCCGGGAGGTGGAGGTGGGGGAAGAAATGCAGATGGATCCTCACAGCTCTTCCCCACAGTCCCTCTGGCCTTGGTGCCCTGAAGTCTAGTAAAGGGGAGAGTCAGAACTGCCACTTCACAATACAGATAATAATGCAACCACTCACTGAAATGTGCGCCAGGCACTTAGGTGAAGCTCCTGCATATATTAGTTTTCTTATTTACAGCAACTCTATAAATTGGTGGTGATATTATGCCTGGTTTTTAGATGTCAAAATTGAAGCTCAGAGAAGAGATGTACCTTACCTGAGGACACAAAGATGGTAAGTGGAGCTAGTAAGTTGTAGAGCATGTTATTAAAATCCAGTTCCCTGAGGCTCCAAAGCCCTTGACCTTGCCATTGCATTACCCAGTGTCAGAATGCGTTCAGTAGTGGGTTCAATAGTGCCATGCAACATGTCAGGCGAGGGCAGGGGAAGAGCTTAGCCCATGTGCTACCTGATGGGCACAGCCAGTGCCTGCTGGGTACATCCAACTTCTCTCCAGTTTGAATGAGAGTACACTGATTCACTCTGTGCTTGACATTTTGTTCTGACTCAGTGATGACCTTGAGGGTAGCCAGCCCATTTTGCTTGATTGACCACTTACACAACACAATGCTTTCAGTGAATAACATCATGCCCAAGGTTAGATAACATTCTTCTAGGAACTGTCCATGATTTCTTCTTCCAATTTGATCCCAACCTGCTCTTAGTAGGCCAAACAGTGTTGCCCCCAAATTCAAGTCCACTCGGAACATCAGGATATGATATTTGGAATAAGGGTCTCTGCAGATGTAATAACGAAGGTAAGGCTCAGGATGAGGTCACACTGGATTAGGGTGGGTCCTACACCTAATGAAAGTGTCCCCATAAGACAGAAAAGGAAAAGACACAGGAGCACAGAGATAATGGAAGCAGAGGCTGGAGTGATGTGTCTACAAGCCAAGAACACTGAAGATGGCTGCCAACCACTGGAAGCTGAGGGACACATGATTGCTTCTCCCTCAGAGACTGAAGAAGGAACCAGCCCTGGTGACACCCTGATTTCTTGAACTGTGAGAGAAATAAAATTCCTGTTTCAAGCCACCCAGTTTGTGGTAATATGTTATGTCATCCCCAGGAAACTAATATAACTGGGAAAACTTTTCTTCATTGTTTCCAATTCTTCACTCAAGAACAATAATTATGATGATAATAGTAATAAGTACTTTTTTAGGGAAATCAAATGATACACCAGAACTTTAACTAATTGCTACATACCTCATGAGGTATGTATTATGTTTACCTTTTATTTTACAGATGATGAAATTGAGGCACAGAAGGTTAAGACAGTTGCCCAAGGATGCATGGAGTGTAAGTGACAGAACCAGAGTTTACATCTAGGCAGCTGGGTTCTGGAGCTGCACTATTAACACTGCCCAACACTGAGACTCACTTCTGACTCCTTCCAGATGTGTCATTCTTGCCTCTCTTGTTGGCATCTGGTGTCCCTGCTCCTGCATTATATTTTCCTTCACATGGCTTGTGCACCTGGCCATCATGGTCTAAGGTTAAGTGACCCCACAACACTGAGAGAGGATCAGATTCAGAGCAGTGTGGTTACCATGGCCTTGGGCTGAGCCAGTCCACACCTCAAAGGAGACTTGGAAATACACATACCCTGGGACTGCAAGGAGGGTGTGTGTGGTGTGGGAGGGGCCGGGGTGGAGGGGAGAGCTCACATACAGGCTGCGTGGCTGACAGAGCCAAGGCCAACAGGCACCATTATGGAGTCCTGTGAGGTACCCAGAGATTAGCTCCCCAAAGGAAATATCGAATAACACACTTTATCAGGATTCCCAGTACAGAACTCACAAGAGTATCTTATGCTGCCCTTCAAAATAGAAGCATGTGACTGCTTTTCCTCATCTGAACTCTAGTGAGAACCACTTCAAACACAGTCTCATCTTATACCTCAGAAAACTGAGTAACACCTTGGAGAGGTTACAGAGGAGGCAGATCCTGCAATGCCTGTATCAATGGCTTATCTACTTGAAAATACAATGTAACCAACCATAACACAATGATGCAGGTCCAAATAATTAAATAACGTAAAATAGAGGGTCCTTTTATTATGAAGTTAATGAAAAAAAATTTCAGCAGGTGAGTACTATCACAATAAGCAAAAAAGTATCAAAAAAACACAAAGATATCCTACTGAATGGGAGAAGATATTTGCCAATGGCACATCTGATAAAGGGTTAATATCCAAAATTTATTAAAAAACCTCATACAACTCAACACCAAAACAACAAACAATCCAATTAAAAAATGGGCAGAGGACCTGAATAAACATTTCTCCAAACAGAACATACAGATGACCAATAGACATATGAAAAGATACTCAACATCACTAGTCATCAGAGAAATGCAAATAAAACCAAAATGAGATACCACCTCACCCCAGTCAGGATGGCTAGCATAAAAAAAATCAACAAATAACAAGTGTTGGTGAGGATGTGGAGAACAGGGAACCCTTGTGCATTGTTTGGGGATTGCAAATTGGTACAGTGACTAAAGAAAGTAGTATGAAGTTTCTTGAAAAAATAAAAAAATAGAACCACTTATGACCCAGCGATTCCACTCCTGGGTATTTATCCAAAGAAATCCAAAACACTAATTTTAAAAGATATATGCACCCCTATGTTTACTGCAGCACTACTCACAATAGCCAAGATAATAGAAACAACCAAAATGCCCATCAGTAGATGACTGGATAAAGAAACTGTGGTACATATATACAATGGAGTATTACTCTGCCATAAAAAAGAATGAAATCTTACCATTTGCAACAACATGGATGGATCTAGAGGGTATTATGCTAAGTGAAATAAGTCAGATTGAGAAAGACAAATGCCATATGATTTCACTATATATGAAATCTAAAGAACAGAATAAATGAATAAACAAAACAAATAAACTCATGGATACAGAGAATAAACTGATGGTTGCTAGAAGAGAGGGTGGTTGGGGGATCAGTGAGAAGGTGAAGGGATTAGGAAGTACAAATTGGTAGTCACAAAATAGTCACGGGGATGTGAACTACACTATGGGAAATATAGTCAATAATGTAAAAACTCTGTATAGTGTCAGATGGGTACTAGACTTATGGGGGTATCACCTCATAAATTATATAAATGCCTAATCACTATGCTGTACACCTGCAACTAACATAAAATAATATTGAATGTCAACTATAATTAAAAAAATACAGTTACAGAATGTGAAGTACAGAATAGGGAGCGTAGTCAATGGTATTGTTATAGCGATGTACAGTGTCTGATGGTTAGTAGACTTGGGATTATCACTTTGTGAGGGGTGTAAATGTCTAATTACTATGTTGTTTTATGCATCTGAAACGAATAATAATAATAAAATAACGAACAGAAGATAGTGAAACTATAATGTTTGCACTGACTGTAAATGGAACTGGGAACATCCCAAATGATGATGAGATTCCTCCCAGACGAGTGCTCTCCCCCTCACCTCTTGTACCCCAACAAGAGCTTCAGTCTATCCATTTTGTTTAGGAACACAGTAGGCAGAAGATGGAGATGGGAGTCAGGCACCAATTGCCTCATATCCAAATGCATCTTATTGTGGAATTTTATTATACCATTTAAACTTG